TGGGGAGGGATCGAAGGGATGATGTCCACGGCAGGTAAGCGACTGTCTTTCCTTATCGCCTCCTTTGATGCCTTCATCTACCTCCTCTCCTTTGTGCTCGTCCTGCTGTTCTACCCTTTGTCTCACCTTTTCCCTACTGCCCCTCCCCTCCCCCAGTGCGGGGGAGGGGCAGGAAAGCCGTGCATGGCCTCGGGGGTACCCTTCAACCGCCATGAGTGAGTGGAGGGAAGAGGGAGGAGGCTGGTCGCCAGTCGTCTCTGGTCGCCGCCCCAGCGGTGGAGGCGGACCGCGCCGTGGTGCTGGCGGCCGTGCGCGAGGACTGGCGCGCGCTGGGCTTCGCCGCGCCAGGGCTGAAGGCCCTACTCCTCCAGCTGCTGCTCCTCCTCAACCTCCAGCTGCTCCTCCTCCCCCTCTCCTCCTCCTCCTCCTCCTCCTCCTTCTCCTCCTCCCCCTCCTCCTCCTCCTTCCTCCCCCTCCTCCTCCTCCTCCACCTCCCCCTCCTCCTCCTCCTCCTCCTCCTCCTCCTCCTCCTCCTCCTCCACCTCCAACTGTCCGCCTCCTCCTCCTCCCCTTCCCACCTCGTCCTCTTCCACCTCCACGCGGGACTCCACGCGGGACCTTCGCAGGCTGGGCAGGTTGCTTCAGAGTCTCGAGAGAAGGACGTGCTGACGGTTGCGGGAGTTACCTTCCCTGGCTGGCTATTGAGGCCCGACGTCCACTCAGCCGCGTGCGGCTTCTCCTCCCCGCCCGCCGTTCGGAGGGAGTGAAGGGTCGGGGGTGCTTTCCAGCTTGGGCCGAAGTCACCTGGATTCGGCGCTTGGTTGCCTCCGCTTTCCCTCTCTCCTAGGCACGCTGTGCTGGGCCAAATCGTCCTTGTCCTCCTACCTCCAGAGGGCCCTCCAGGGGCCTCCCGGATGCTCCCCTAAGCGCCTCCGCCCCCCGAGGGCCCGAGACGGCCTCTGAGGCCCCCCGAGGGCCTCCGAGGCCCTCCGAGGGCCCCCGGAGGACCTCCGACCCAGACATTCCGAGTAGGAGATCGACTACGGAATTTGTTTAGCCCCCACATTGTTTTTGCTCGTCGAGTCTACAAAACAGTCAGCATGTTCGTAGCTCTGCGGCAGTTCTACGTGTTCTTCATAGGTTTGACCAATTCTGTAGTCGACCTTAGGCCCAGACATTCAGCGGCTCGACTTTTTTCCAAGACACGGGCGCCCGATTCGTCGTCCTGGCCCGTTTTCCGACGGATGCGGGGCCCGAAGTGGCCCCCTTCTGGCCGAGCATGGACAGGAAGCGGCCGTCTCGAGAGCCGCCAGATGTCTGGGGCAGGCCGCCGAGGGGATGCCGCTCCATGCCGCCCGAGAAGACGAGGAGCCGACGAATCGAAGGAGCACGAAGCCGAAGAGGACGAAGGCGAAGGCGGGCGAAGTGGCAGTCCACGAGCGCAGGCGGACCGAGAGACCGTGCTGGCCGCCGTGGCGCGGAGCGGCGACGCGCTGCTGTACGCCGCGCCGGGGCTGCAGGCGGACCGCCAGGTGGTGCTGGCGGCCATCAAGCAGGAGCCCCTTCCCTTTGTGGAAGTCGGTTAACGGAGAGGAAGCATGCTGCCGAATAATTTCCAGATGTCTAGAACATGTTTCAAGCATGTGTTTAAATATGTGAAAAACATGTTTTTTTAGAACATGTTTTACACATTTTAAACGCATTGAAAATTCAATGATAGAACTGTTAGGGTGTCCATGGTCGTGGCATCCACAACCCTCCATGGGCGCGTCTTGCTGGTTGTCCTCAGGGAATCGCAGGCCCAGAGGCTGACACCAACACCAACATCGGCGGTGTGCCTCCACCGAGGGAAGAAGATCCCGATCTCGGTGATGGTGGTAGTATTTTGGCTTCAAGGCGACCGAAATATTACCACCGACGCCGAAATCCAGGATCATCTTTCCCCTGTGGAGGCAACCCCCTGTGTTGGTGTTGGTGTTGGTGCCCATTTCCAGGCCTCCAACGTTTTGCCAGTTGTCCTCAGGAAAGCATTGTGAGCGGCAGTCGATGATCCTCAGGACGTGTGTCAGCCCAATGTGTGTTTACCCCCTTCAGCCCAACCAGTAGATCATTGTATCTCCTGCGGCGTATCTGAGGGCCTCGATGGACATCGACCCAGGCCCCTCGCTCGCTTGCTCGTCAGCAGGGGAAGGAGGGGGTACCGATCTCGTTTTCGCCATTCTGGGCCTCCTGGGAGGCTCTCGTCGCCACGGCTGGATTCTCCTCGAAATTCTGGTCAGAACGCACCCCAGGAGCGCACTCCAGGAGTGGTCTGGGGACTAGCGGCACTAGTACCCTATGAGACAAAACCTGGAGGTCTTGCGTGGCACGCAGTAGTTGTATCGTGTAGTCCACGCGTCCGATCCGTCAGGTGTAGTCACTCGACGTTCGCGCGGCGATGCTCCGACGTGAGTCCGACGTGAATTGGATGTAAGTCCGACGTGATCCGATGGGAACCCGATGTGAATACGGGGTGGACTTGACGTAATTGGTCTCAAGTTGCCGCGCGAGGCCTCCAAGATTTCCCTCATAACCTCCACCGGCGTATTTTGCCGGTTCTTTCCGAGAAGGATAGTGCCCTAATAGCAGCAATTGTGAAGAGGTGGTTCGAGCAGTATGAGGTGGGCTAGTAAAGACTTCAATTCTTAGGTACTCTTGGGGATTCCCCGAAACGCTGACAGGCTGGACAATAGTGAGAGCACGGTCATGTGCACCGTTATGAGTTCTTTACAAGGGACCGTGGCCGTGTGGACCAAGCATGTAGGCCGCATTCCTTTCCGAGCGAGGAAAGGACCCCCTCCTGCATACACTCGCATCCACAATCTCCTTACTATAGCATACTATTACCGAGACATGCGCCGCTCTTATCCCCCATCGTCACAAGTGGGGTCACCATTGTGCAGGGGGGGCGTCCGATCTACTGTGCATTGTGCATGGGGATGCGCCAAGTGAAGCTGCTGTTCCAGCATGGGGGAGGGTGGCGATCTATGGCTCCGTGCGCTCTCGCCGACAACTGGGGACCGGTAAACGTTCTCCAATGGCGAGAGCAGGATTCCGGAATACACTACGAGGAACTCCCGGGCGAAACGGCGGCCCGACCGCCCCCGAACCCAGCAGTCTCGGGCTCCCCGTCCCCCCCTGTGGGACTCTTCTGCTGTCACCGTCCTCCTTCTCACGCTGGTCAGACGCTGAGCGATGGAGCTCGCAGCATTTGCACGCTCTCTGCAAAAGATCTCAAAGAGCCCGCGATACAACTTATCATCGTTCTGGTGCAGACGCGGAGAGCCCCAGAAGGGCGGGAGTTTTAGCATTGCGGTGATAGAAAGGACGTGCTCCGGGGTTCCTCCTCCTTCCCGCTCCTCCTCGTCCTCGTCCTGTCTTCTTTCCTCCTCCTCCTCCTCCTCGTCTTCCTCTAAGCTCCTCCTCTGCCTCGTCGTTCTCGCTCTTCTCCTCCTCCCTCACTCCTCCGTCCTTTCTCCTAGTAGACATGCACTGTTCCTGTCGCACCCTCAGACGTGTCCGCAGGCTGCAGGCCGGTCCAGGCGTTTCGTCTGAAACCTCCTCACTGTTTGTGATCCTGAACCTTGGAAGTTACTGCAGTCTTTACTCTAGGCCTCCCAGGTGGGGTCGTAGCAGATGGGGTCGGGGGAGTCGCGGCGCATCCCCGATGCATCGCCGATGGAGCCCGAGTTGCTTCACGTCGACGTCGCCGATGCGTCGCCCACGTCGGCAATGCATCGCCGATGCATCGCCGATGCATTGCCGATGTATCGGCGATGCGGCGCGATTCTCCGACCCCATCTACTCCGACCCCATCTAGGAGGCTTCTATTTACGCCTCACACATCCGTCTTGATCGGTTGCAGCAGTTTCAAAGGATTCGTGTGGTGGAAGTTCCAGGCATGGTGCTCTGGCGCGACTCAGGATTTTCAGACGCAACAGTCGCGTGGACTCCTCGGTGTGGGCATTCCAGAGATGGTGTTCTGGCACGGGTCAGGATTGCCAGACCTCAGCAGTCACGTTGAATCGCGGCGTTGACATCTGAGGAATGGTGATTAGCACCGATCTGGGATTCTCAAATCATTGGGGGAATCGAAGGGTGTCCGACTCAGATTTATCTTTAAGTATAAACCAGTTGTTTTCTTGTTTTTTCCTGGTCCTGGCGAGCTTCCCCTTTTCTTAGAGTCTTGGGGAATGTTTCTTTGTTTGATTCTTCGAACGGTTGTCTTTCATTGGGCCATTTCCTGCAATGAGCACAAATTCCTCCAGGGACCTATGAAGAGGGAATTTGGAGGAAGGATTTAACGCAGCATCGTTGATGCGTCTTTGGTTTACCCTGGTCCCTCCTCCTCCTCGCTCCTGGTCCTCGTCCTCCCACTCCCCATACAGCTGACAGGATGATTATTCAATTCCCGGGAGGTTGACTTCAGCATCTGTGCTGGTACATACGCGGTCGAAGGATCGGCCTGATCCAGCATAATCTCACCTCCTCGTGGCCAGCCCCTTTAGTCTGCCTTTTCATGGTTGAGTCCTGGGCTCCATCGGGCCTCAGGCGGCTCAATGGCCTGGCCCAACAACCCCTTCCATGAGCTGCCTCCTAAACCTAAATCGGGCATGTCTCCCTACAGGAGGAGTATTCTGGACCCTTTTGGAGTATTTTGTAACTATTTTTCATTTTTCTCCGAAAACTGGCCTGCAGGGGGACGCGCCCGACCTCAACCTGCACCGATCCCGGCCAGGCCCAGCCTGGGCCCAGGGTCGGCCCTGGCCGGTATTTGTGTGGTGGCAGAGCCGGTGCCCTCCGGTGCCGCTTCCTGCCAGCGGCGGAGGCCTGCATGCTTATGCTATCTTTGTGGAAGTCGATTAATGGAGAGGAAGCATGCCTAAAACATGTTTCAAGCATGTTTAATCTATATATATATATATATGTATATATATAAACATGTGTGAAACATGTTTAGA